TAAGGGAGGCCACGCTGCATTCCTCACACCACTGGCAGCGTGCCTGCAAAGAAAAGAACACAAATTAGTACAAAGCCAACAACAACTTAGGACAACTCAACAATACGAACCAGAAGCAGCAGAGACTTAGAATGGGCCCCAACAGGGCCTTGATTATGTAGCCTGGGGAGCACCGCCCAGGTGCTCCCAGTTGGCAGCCAATTACCCGGCCAGTCATGCACCACCATCTGACCTGGCCACAAACAAACACTCAGTGACACCAGGGGGTGCCACAAGATTTATCCAGCTAAATGTGTACATACAGTAGTCTGATCATGACAGTTTTTGCATGACCTGGCATCCTACTCATTTACAAACCTGGAAGCAACAAGGTATAAATGTGTACCAGCTAAAAAACCCACAGTGCTTAAAACTGTGATCCTGACACTCCTAGAAAAATGTCACCTTTTCACAGGAGGCCTGGATGAAGCTCTTTACACCATCATCGACACTTGTCGTGAACAGGGGGTGCCATTCGTGTTTGCCCTCTCCAGGAAAGCTTTGGGTCGCTGCGTCAACAAGGCAGTGCCTGTCAGCCTGGTGGGCATCTTCAACTACGACGGTGCACAGGTCAGGTCTATTTTCAGTCCATACACATGATCAATGCACCAATAAATGATATTTGATCAAGTATATTTAAATAAGCTGAAAACGTCTTTCTTACCCCCAGGATGTCTATCATAAGATGATCGAGTTGTCGTCTGAGGCTAGGAGAGCCTATGAAGTGATGGTGTCGAGCCTGGAACAGACGGGCGAGGCAGAGACGGAGCAGGTGTTGAACACTGAAGACCTGCAGATCAGCAGCCTGGCTGAGGAGGCTGAGCCCAGTCCTGACGCCACGAACCCAGAGGAACCAGAATACAGTAAGTTACTCTCCTGACCCAAGGTTGGTCATACCTGTGCTTTAAAACCAAGTGAAAGCTGTAATTTTGTGACTTGACCAATTAAATCCACAGGGGAGACGCAGAGCTAGAGCATACAATAACAGATTTCACCTTATTTGAAAGACATATAAAAATATAATAATTATTGTTTTTGTATTCTAGTAAAAATTTGGAAGAAAATGTTGGAGAAGGATTACAACCACACATTTCTGAACTTTGAGGAGCAGCTGAGCTCCATGCACTTGGAAAGTGAATGTACTGAAAACGCTGATGAAGATGAGAAGAGTTGACAGTGGCAAAGCCTTCCGTGCCTAAAAAAAAAAAAGAAACAAACCCACTCATGCTGATTGCCATTTTAGAAGAAACTAGGATGGACTTAATCCCACATGCAGAGGAAGAGCAATGCAAAGTGCTCTGCTGCTGCAATTCTCACCCTGGGGATTTTTGTCAGGAAATTACTCATGTGGCTGATGTCTGCAATGAATCATGAATTCCTTTCTCTTTGTTTTGAATAGCTAAAGTCATATGTTTTTGTTTGAGTTGAAATTATTTTAAGAGTGTGTGGGGGGTTGATAAACTGGAAAGATTAACCACTCACCTACTAGGACCAAACCACTCACTTGAAAAGATCCCACAATATGAATTTTCAATCATGTTGTCTATTAGCACCCCACAAGGATGAGCAGGCGTTTATGTACTGAATGTGTGTCAAATATCAACCAGTTATTTACTACTAAGAAATTATCAGTGACATTTTGATGCTGTTTTATTGTTGCAATTTCTTTTTCTCTTCTGGGTTAGGTTCAGAATGTTTGTGGCATTTTGCCTTTATTCAACAGGGACATTAGAGAGGTGACAGGAAATGAAGGGGGAGAGATGATGGACAGCATGCAACAAAAGATCCCCAGCCAAAATCACACACTTGAGAAATTGAAGTTTGTTAATGTAGAAAAGATTTGAGGTTGTTGGAAAACTCAGCACTGTCCCCAAACTGTGCATGCCACTGGTAGTTCCACATCCACACAATTTTGGATTTGTAACTTCAGGGTTGCACACGGTGTGGGAACTTAGTTTCACAGTTTTTCACTTAATTTTTTTCTCTTCTTGATCTAATTTGTGCAGAAATGTATTTACATATTCTCAAAAATATTTCTATAACTACAAATCTTTCCTACACATTAACATAACAGTTTTTCATAGATTTCACAAGCTCAGAATCTTATTGAGCCGTGTTTAAAGCCCACAGTCTCAAACCCTTAGGCCACCGTGCTACACCTAGGTTCAGTTTAGGGTTAAAAATTAACCTATGCTCTTTCTTTGCATAAGAGAGGAAATCCTTTTTTGCATGACAAGTCAGAACTTTGTTTATTTTATCCTGATTGCACTACATAGTAGAGACTTTTTTTATTTGTCTGAGACTACCAAAGTACTACACATAGTATGTTGTACTGCCTGTGATTAGATGTGAATGGTAGCGTTTGATTTTCTTGAAAGAGGAAAAACAGCTAAATGATGTAAAGAAAAAAAAACATTACCTGCTGTTAACTTGATTCTGTTAAAAAGTTTAGTGAGTTTTCTGTTTACCTACATAGTGATTGGAAAAAAAAACATAAAATAGCATAATGATAAAATAGCATAATGATAAAAAAGTGCTAAGTGTCCATCACATGTTGAAACAAAGCAATAAGTGATGAAATTTGAAATGGGCAAAATTTATTCAGAATTCAGATTTCAGGAATGAAATGAATATTGTATAGGATCATATTTTTTTACACCTATGAAGATGTAAAAAATTGCATTTATCTTGAAGTAGAAGTTGCTTGGGTTCATGCAAGGTAATCCCGATAGGATACTAGACTACTAAGAAGTCTTGCTGAATTCTGTCAATTCTACATGGAGGAGTGTTGACAATAGGCTGTTTTATAGCAGACATTTTGAAAAAGTACTAGCATAACTGCTATCCATTTAATAATGTCAGTTCCAGGGCTCGGATAAATCACAGTCACAGTCTATACACAGTCTTAAGCTGCATATGAATCTTACAGCAAAGGTTCAACATTTTTGGAAAGATTTGTTTTCTGGTTGCGAGTTAGATAATTAGATAAGACAACTCATATCTGTCTTTTAAATCATAAGGTTACAGCCAACAGCTGCTAGCCATGCTTTATGCTAAGCTAAGCTAAGTAGCTCCTGGTTATAGCTTTACTTGTACAATACAGAAAGGTGATATGTATTAATTTTCTCATCTAATTCTCCACCAGAAATCAAATAAGTGTATTTCCCAAAATGTTGAACTAATCCTTTAAATGTTCTACTATAATGTGGTTCAATAAATTATGTGGTAGTAAGAGACCAAACTGTGAAATGATAGGAATTTAGAACTGGATGATGAAAGGCCTAATGATGATGTATATTTTTTTTGATTCTGCTTTTGTAAACTGTGTAATATGGAGTATTGACAACTTTCCTAGGTGAATGGAGATGCAAACGATACATTATTTTTTTAATACATTAATAGACAGATGTTTCAGTGGTCACAGGAAATTAAAATTCTTATGCAAGGAAATCACTTGCATAATGAGGACAAATGCAGTGTTTACTTTAAGGGAGTGTGGGTAGTTAATATAGAAGAGGAAGAGAGGTGGACCAAGTATGCTTCCCTGTGGCATCCCAAAATCACAGACAGACTGGGAGAGTCTTCAAAAGTACAAATCTAAAAACTAACCACCTGAGATCTGTTTAGTTAAATGTAGAAAAAAAATTAACAAGAATTGGATATTTTTGTAACATTTGTTAGTACACATTACAGTAAATAACAGAATTTTGATCTGAATAAAGAATCTTGGAAAATATTTGAGTGATATCTCAAATGTTCAGTTTACCCAAAAATGTTGTTTATTTGGTTAAAGAAAATAAGAAACATCTTCTATGAGATAACTGTTAAAACTATATTTAACATATAAACCAAAGACAAAAAAATGCATGTTTACTCTTTAAGTTTCTTTCCTTAAGGTGATGGAGCATAAATAATCAGTTTAAACTGCACCATGCAAGTGCCATTCAAGATCACAAAATGACTAACAATGAACAAACATTTTAATTTGCTAGTCGTTGGTTTCTATGAAAAATGACACCTTTTTACCACATTTTTTGAATTGTCTATTACTACCCTCCCCCTTAAAATTAGATTACAGGATGGATTGATTAGATTAAACATTTTAATTTGCTATTCGTGGTTCTATGAGAAAATGACAACCTTTGTTACCACATTTGAATTGTCTTATTTCACTGACCCTCCTTAAATAGAACAGGATGATTGATTAATTATTTTAAACCCCTTATACAATGTGATAGAAAATCACCTCTGCAGACGCTACACATGAAATGTCTCATTCCAAAAGGATGGATGTCCCGTCTCAAAGTAAAACGGAAATGTAATTTATTAGCAATTTCAAACGCATTACAAAATGTAATAATTTTTGATTTTAAATAAAACATATGAAAATGAAAACTGAATGAAAAATATTGTGTAACATTTCAGAATGAAACTTGGTATGTCAAGTGACTTATAGGTAATTTTCTTAAAACCAGTTGCATTTTTAATTATACATATATATTGCAAAATAAACCGGTTAGTTGATTAGACTATGAACATGTTTATGTGCAGTATGTTTATTTCCAAATTAATCTTCAGTTTAACTGGATCAAATGAAGTCTTATGAGCAAGTATGACCAGATTTCCTTCTTGCTTACATTAGAATATGTCACCTCATTTAAACTTTAACTGACATACATATTCTATGTTTGCTGTGAGTGTGATGACTTTGAAAGTAGCAGCGTGGATCAGTCTCTTCCTTGTATACACATATATTTTTGTTATTTGTTGTCTGACTGTGGCTCTGTGAGGCTGTACTTAAGCACACCGTGCTTTAAGCTAAATGTGTTATGGTTCAAGTTTAGCAAGTATAATGTTTACCATGTTCACCATCTGAGTTCAGTACTAAGTCAGAAACCAAAGTACTGGACATATAGAATGTTTTAGGTGAATTAGGTGATAAGTTACATTGCCTGGTGGCCATGAATGCCAAATGTCATTGAAATCCATCAGATAATAAGGTTCGATTATGTTCTTTATTGATGAATCTGTTGATAATTTGATAACAATTAATTGTTTGGTCCATTAAATGTCAGAAAATGGTGAAAACACTGATCACACAGTAAATTACTGGGGACATTTGTCATATGTATTTGGACATTGCATATAAAACAAAATTTTACATTAAAGATGGTGCAGGTATAGTTTCAACATATCCGCTATCGATGAGTCCTGTGCACACCCCCACTTTATCGGGTCCAGTCACATGAAGGTTTCTCTGCTTCTGAAGGACACAGTCTGTGTACTGGTTACCCTTCTCTCTACAGGAAGTGTCAACGGACACATTTTGTTTCTGCAGGAAGACCATATTGTCACTGTCCACCTTTTTCACCCTGCTGTAGTCCTCGGATATGTCCTCTTGTGTCTGAACATCCATGGAGCCAGAGCTGTGATGATTTTTTTTCTCAAGGATGAGAATATTGTCACCATTCACCTCTTTCACTCTGCTGTAGTCCACCTGTTTCACATCTACCTCCTGTATGCTTTCCACATGTTTCTGAATATCCACATAACCGCTATTTGACAGACTCCGTTCCGTTGCTTCTGGGTTTACAAAGTTTATACTTGGGCACTGTTGTTCCTTTGTAGGCAGCTGGGATGGCTCCACAAAGTTATCTGTTTCATTCTTTGCTTCCTCAGCCGTCTGCCAGTCATTTTGGATGGGGGTTGACCCGTTATATTGTATTTCTGAGTCTAAGTAGAAGTCAGATGGCATAATCCAGCTTTTCTTTCTTTTTTGAGAATTGGAGGGATCCGGCAGAGGCCCATTGTCATTCTCGGTCACTATCAGGTAATCCTCCATCTGTTCCTTCCAGCCTACCATAAGAGGAAAGTTCTGGTTGATGATCATGGCATTGATGACATCTTCAGAACGCCCGCTCTGGAACAGTTTGTTAGGGTTAATTCAGTACATTATGACCTACTCACTGTTATCAACTCCAAAGCAGCTTTCTAAATATGTTGAAAATACAATGCAAAAGCAGTATCACCTTGAGAAGTTGAAAATCAACTCCTCTTATCTTTGGACCAGGAACAGGGGGCAGAACACACTGCTTCACACTGGGGGACAAAAGAAAGTGGGTCATGAGTCCCTTATCATCCCGGTTTTAGATAAAAAGTTATTTATCTTTTTTGTAGTAGATACATACTGTTTCCTCTTCATGACCAAGATGCACATTGTTGCAAGGAAAGGAATTGCAGAGAGGAAGGAAACCAATATCCAAAACGGTTTTTCGTTCTGAAATTCTAAATTTATAGAAAAATTAAAAAAGCATTTTCCAGTTATTATCAGTACGGTAGGCGTAACAGATGCCACCTCACTGTAAAGCCAAAGATGTTGCAAAGAGCTTGTGAGACTTACTGTTAGGGATCTTCACAAAGGTAGTGTTGGTCCACTCACTCCAGGAGCCGTGGTCTAGTCTGCAACGCACCTGGACCATATGCACCAACCCGGGACTGACGCTGTACAGGGTGAAATGGGTTTGTGTACCTGACGTATACGACTAGAGAAAAAAAAAATCAATAAATGTTGTAGCCAGGTTTTGATCACATTTGGCTAAAACAGTAGTTGCAAATACGGGTAGGTAGAACATTTGTTGTACTTAAAGTGGTGTATCACATGTGTCTATAGTACATACTGTATATTGTTAGTGTGGCGTATGGAACTGGGTTAAAGCAGTTGACACTTGTGTTGACAGTCCTGGACTGCTTGACAGCTGCAATTCATACTAAAGCTCTCTCAGCTGCAACTGGTCTCAAATGCAGCAGTTCTTTAAAGTTCCAGAAACTGGTGAAAAATGACTAATACAGCGTCCCAGAGACTAAGATGACGCCTCCGAATGTCTTTTTTTGAACAACAAAATTGAATAGAGTACTAAGAAAAACTATAAATATTCACATTTGAGGAGCTGGCTCCTATGAATGTATGGCATATTTGCTGGAATAAATGACTTATCAAAATTGTTACTGATTAGCTGTACCTTGAATCAAGTGTTAACAGAGTGTAACAGAATGTGTAACATGGATTTAACTATTCTCTAGTGTTGACCCCTTTAGTTAAAGACAAACAGCAGGTTTTAATCCTATATTTTACATTTTCTTAATATGCAGATCACAGAGTGTACCTTTCAAGGTTACTTCTTGTTCTGTCCTGAACAACAAAAACAATGTGCAGCAGGAACCGAAAAGGGTAAAAATAAAGCTGTAATACTTTTTGGTGCAACTGTGGAAAAGAGTTAATCTGCAAATTATTTCAGTTCAGTTTTAACATTTAAAACTCACCTTCCACTTGTTGCTGCCTTCTTGTTTGACTCTTAGTTCATATTTAACGGTGACCCAGCCAGACTTGGTGTCCGTGTTATAGGGACGCTCCCATCTGATTTGAATATCTGGAGTGTCCTCTTTCCCCTCCACCAGCATGGTTACATTTTCAGGAACATTGGGCTTCACTGTCAGGTATTGACAGAACACAAATTAGAGTCTACAGCGACATTAGCTCTTATTTCAGGCTGTGCTTTGCACTAAATGCTAACATCAGCATGCAAAAATGCTCACAATGACAATGCTAACATGCTGATGTTTAGCAGGTACAATGTTCACCATCTCTGTTCAGCATATAAGCATATTAGCTAATTAAGACTAAAAGAAAATGATTGCTTCAGCTGATGTGAATGTTATTAGTTTGGCATTTGTCTGGTCATTAAGTATTTTAACGTGGTGATCAGAGTTATCAGAATCAGAATCAGAATCAGAAATACTTTAATAATCCCCGTGGGGAAATTACTTTCTTATTACAATTCCTCCTGAGAGGGACACAAATCCCTTCCCAATTTAATAGCAATCCATCCAGTATTTGTTGACATATTTCAGCGAATAAGTGAAAACCGACCAATGGTGCTAGAGGAAAGGGGATCATCAATATCTATACAAAACTCAATGTCAATCCATTCAATAGTTGTTGAGACGTTGTGGTGGACCGACTAGCAATGTCATCCCTACAGCCGTGACGCTAGCATGGCCTCTCTTTGAGAGGATTTACAGCAGCCATGGGCATGTGCAGTAAGCGGCATCTGTGCTTCAAGGGAGCTTGTGAAGGTCCTTGGACATCAAATTATCTTTTATCTTATTCTTTCCTAAAGTATGTTTACATCAGAGGGACATGATCTAATGCAGTGGAGTTACAATTTTCTTACATGTGACAGGACTCTGCTCCATATGTATTGTAACTACAGTACATGGAGATCACATACGAAACTGTTTGCATAGCCAGACTAAACAAGTAAAATGTGATCCGAGACTGTACACAAGTTTTACAATGGACACAAACCAGTTTCACCACATTCTGTTCAGGTTTTCATTTGCGCCTCGTTTCTGTCACTCAGTACTTTTCCATTCCTTACTAAGACCAGGAACACTGCACAGTCAATAAAACTGTGCCAATCATTATCTGACTCAATAGATAATGTTCTGCTGTGTTACCTTATACTCTAATGACTAGATCTAATCATTGTCAATAGTTCAAAGTGTATCACTCCAAGTCTGACACAAAAAGCTAAGCAGATTAAGCAATTCTTAATTATAATTAATAATAACTTTTACAGTTTTTTTTGTCACATTTGTGTTGAAAAATCCTACTTATAGGAAGTAGTAGGTCACTACTTTTTATAGATATTGTAACTAGTAAGTAAGTAGTACAGTGCAGAACCAACCCCACTTTCATATTGAATGATATTCTACATATTCATCATAACCAATAAAAAAACCTTTAAAGCAGTTTAGAGGATATTTTCAATATACAGAAGTTTGCTTTACTGAAATCTCTATTCAAATACAGATTCTCTTGATGTTTATATCTTATCTTTTGAGGGTTTTTGAGTGCATCTATTACAAATAGGGGGCACATATGTGTCAGCGAATAGAAACATACTCAATCTCTATTCCCTCTTCTTCTTGGAAGCAACAACTTACCGATTTCCATCACATCAATCTTAAGGGTGTCTGAAGTGGCATTTCCGAGGGAATTGAAGGCCACCACTGTCAGGTAGTAGTAGACCCAGATGGAGGTGTGACTCTTGTTAAAGAAACAGGAGTCCCTCCCAGCTGACAGATAGTCCGGACACTCGTGCACTCCCTCCAATCTGTACGAAGACAAAGCAAGACCTTTACTGACCAGGATATGAGTAAGGGCATTCTACTTACATATGGTTACAACAAGGTCAGCATTGTACAACTGTGCTATTGGCCCTCAATAAAGAAGTATTGGGTTTGACTGATGATCAGATATGTCTCAGATGTAATGTAATGTAAGGTGTGTTGTACATTTTTTGTCAAACCATAAATTTCACATTTTATGTATTAATAAGACTGAAAGTCTACAGCTATGCATGACTCTGTGACACCATGATCACCATTAACCATGTAAAGCACTTTGTGTATTTTTATTATTATTATCTCATCAGCTGAGGTTAATGGAAATGCCATTAGTTTTACAGGGAATCAACATCAATAGTCAAATTCACATTGTTTAATTATTGTAGGGAGTCTGGACCGAAGTTGTGGATAAACTGACTGACGCTGCCATGCTTGAAAAGTCTCAAACTGTCAGGATTGGCATTTTTCCCTCTGGCTAGGGCAAGTGAGGGTCACAAAAAGTGTTTGAAGTCTGTAGGTTTACTTGCACAGCAACAAAGATTTGTGCTCAGCTGACTGAGCACAAGTGTATGAACAAAGTAGCTGGTAGTTTTCCACTCACCTGTCTACAATGCTACTACTGACAACAAGGGAAAGCTGTTGTTGTTAAGTTGTCAGTGTGGGTGATAGACTTATCTGAAACTCAATGGGGCAAATTTAAATCACAATATACTGTGATTTAAACCCTGGTCTGATTCCAGATGGGGGCCTTTGTTGAATGTAATCTCCCTCTTTTCCTCCCTCACCTTTCCTGTATCTCTACTGTGAATAAAGAAAAACAATTCTAAAATTTCAATAAATCTAAAAAAAAACTTAGTAACTGGACTGACGTTTCTCTCTCGTAATAGAGGCGGTGCGTGGTCGGCAGCCCTCCGTCGGATCCTGGCTCCCACCAGCAGGTAAATGTCTCCTTCTCAGGGGACCTGCAGCCAAGCAGGACTGGTTTCCCTGGTGGAGACATGCCTGGCAACACGTGACAAACAAGCGTCAGCTCCCAATTCCCAGTTTAGCATTTAAACGATTTTCAAAAGAGAGACAGAGTGTTTTATTAAACAAGGGCTGGTTCACAAAATGTCATAAAAACATTTTTCAGCTACCTTTAACAGTATCTATCCATGCATTCAGTTTTGGTTTTCTTTGCCGAGGAATGTGATATGCATCTCTAAGGTTAATGTTCTAATGTTCACACTGCAAAGCCTTAGCACTCAATTCTGATTGATTGCTCTGATCTGATTTTTTTTTTTGTTTGGCTGTTTTTAAAATGTGGCCCATATCAAATTCCAGTGTTAACAGTTCACAGACTTGAAGTGACCCGCATTACAAATGTCAATCTAGAGTGAAGTAAAAGTCATATGAATTCTGATATGATTGTTCACACTGAGGTCACATGGCATAAAATCAGACCTGTATCTGATTTCATATTTCTGCTGTTTACAGTCATGAAATGATCTGAGTTGTATATGAGCAACAAAAAATAATATGATCTAGGCTACTCTTGTGCTTGCACTGTGAATGTAGTCTAAGGTTTCCTCAACCACCCCAGTTCATGAAGGTTAATGTTGTTTGTGCACACAGAATTGGAAAACCGCCGTTGAATAATTCAACAGTTACATCTATGCGTGTGTTTATATGCAAACTAGTTAGTTGATCATATTCGGGATAAGGCTTTTAATTGAACAGGAAAAACGTCAATTACAATATCCCTGTATACATGATCAGTACCAACACCACAGTACCAACAGTATCCAGGTTTTCAGATCCGCTGCTTGCAGATATGATTTCTCACCATCTCAACCAAGAAATTATGTTTACATTCGCAAAACATAACCAGCATACTCCAAAAACATGTTCATAACCAGGATACTCTATTTACTCTCTTCAGCTGTTTACCTTCTGTTCCCAGTCTTTGTGATAAGCGAAGATAACGGACTGCCGGCTGTAGTTTTATACTTAATGGACAATTGAGAAAGGTATCAATCGTCCATTTGAAAGCGTTACCTAGCAAGATTACCTTGTGACTTTTTACCACTTTTGATTGGGTTACTTATTCAGACATGACACCAATATGTTACATAAAGATGTATGAAAGGACAAAAGAGATCTATTTATTCAGTAGAAAGTAGTTCCAATTCACACTGTTGACAGTGAGATCTGTGGATTATCCAGAGTATCAGAGACTGTTTCTGGAAAAGAGAATTTCTTTAATGTAATTTTCCAATGCTGTGAGCACTGGAGAAATCTCAGAGGCAGATCTCCTAAGCTGCATGTCTAAGTCTATCTACCACTGTAGGTGGTATATGGATCACTGTAATGTTTGGGCTTTTTTTTATATTTTGAGAGAACCAACCCTTTAAACAACAATGTTGTGAACCTACTGTTGGACTCTACAGCTGTAAACAGCAGCAAGAGCAGCGCCACTCCAAGGTCTCTCCTCATCCTGGCACAAACTGTCACAGGTGCGTCCTGAAAAAGGAAGTGACATCACCAGCTTGTGGTTAATGAGGTCATATATACACACGGTCAGTGGTGTAGTAAAGGTTATACGCAGGTATACAGTATACAGGTGGCACTTCTAAATCCTCTCTGATGTAGCAATATTCTGCATGCTAAACGTTTTCCTAGGATGGTGAAGGCATGACATAGCTGTCCACTTTTCGCAGGAATACTCTACACGAAATGCATAATTATGTAGTTGTGTTACCCGGTACTCAGTACTAACAGCAAAATCTGCACCTCTTCTGAGGCTAATGTTAATTTCATAATGAGCCTTACTCCCTGAACAATTAATTCAAATACTACTGGCTCATATTTTGGTGAACTAACTATGCAAGACTAGTCTTACATGTCAGGGCGTTTATCCTTTGCTGAACGAGCTACTTAAAAAATAAATTGGGGGCATATATTAACAGTATACCCCACTTCTCTAAGCATCACTACACTAACTGGCCATTGTTTGGCTGCTTGACTTGTTTTTACTTAAAACAAGGAGACATGAAGGTAAAACAACGAGCCCAACCAATACTTGTTTGTAGATGTTGTAGCCAACACATACAGGCCATCTGCGGTCATCACATGCTGATGAAATATGATCTACGGCTAAAAATATGAATTAGTATGCAATTATGATTTGACTGACAGCATCATATGACCCCTTTCATCACTTTCATCAGAGAAAGAATCTGCAACGTCACCCAAAAGGGTTACAAGGTGAATATTACTGGAGCATCAGGTTTCAAAAAGGAACTGGATTTACCAGAATAAGCTGACTGTGAAAATGATTATCCTGTATCCTGGTGGGTTCGTGCTGAATCTGTCCAACAAACATACAACAAAAATAAAAGTTCTCCTCCACTCAAAAATGTGTTTTTTCTCTTTGTTCCTTGATTGTGGCTTCACAAATAGTCTGAAATCAAGCCTGGTCCATTATGCAATTTATACAAGCCACCAGTGCATATACACTGAAGAAATGAACAAAATGTGTCAATCCATAGTCATAGATTCTGGAGGAATGTGAACATTATACTTTATTTTACAGACAACATAAGACATTATTGTTCCAAGCAAACTATTTGTATTTGTCGTATGTGAAGGGGATCTTTAATGGTCAAGAATATAGTTCAGTCCTAAATGTTAAATGATAAAAACTTCACTGCATGTTCTGACTCAGCTCACTGACAAATATCCTCCGTGAAATATAACCCAAATGGACTTTAGATCATTACTGAATGTACTTCCCTATTCCTCTGAGCTCACCTACACCTACAGTACGTGTTATAGTGACAGAGTGGCAACACACTCAACGCGTTTATTTGCCTCCAAGTCCTGTGCTGATTTCCTGAATGTTTTTCTTTTACATGTACCAGAGGTTGATTGATTGGCTCAGAGTGAAGACTTGGCAAATTTATGCGGCTCGGTTCTGACTCTAAAACAGCCAAATGCCAAAATGCTTTATGAAGTTAGTCACCTGAGGGGGTGTGGGAAAACTGCCTTTATTGACTGGAAGCCTTTAGTGTACAAAAGGGCAACACCTTCTCAATGTTTTTTTCTTCTTCTTATTTCGTACAGTAACCAGAGTGACAACAAGCTCGGTTTCCTGTTGCCATGCCTGCTCTGACAAGTTTTAACAGGATGACTTGAGCAAGGAGGGATCTGGCTTATTTCTCAATTGTAGACTAGATGTCAAAACCAATCGACTACCAAATGCCAAATATCCAGTTTCACACTCAGTCTAAGCAGTGTGTCTGGGATAATACTATTATATATGTACTATAATATTATTTCTACTTGCTTTTTTAAATTCTCATAATATATGTAATTCCATTAACTAAATTACATAATGGCTGAAGCTGAATAAACCTTAAATCTAACACTGAGATCTTGAGAAATGAGAGATCCTGAGAAATCCTCGTATTTAATTAATGTTAGTATTATTCCATGCTGTACCGTTTAATATACACACACATACAATACTGTAGAGATGAAATTGTACATCATAGTCACTCTTTTCTATAAACTACAATTCTTGGTGTAAATTGAAAAGAACTGAGGAGAAAAAACAACTAATGCCTATTATAATCTCTATTAATATTTAAGTAATTAATCATTTGAAAGAAACAAGTTGTATTACTTGTAAAGCGTTTCTATTAGGTTTCTGCTGTTATGATGGACAAAATAATAATAAATAAAACACAACAATCCAAGTTTCCATGGTATGGCCACACACAAACACACTCCTTTTAGAAGAAAGTAAACATTATACGATAAGTTAGACAAGGGTAGTCAGTCTGCATACATACAGGTTAATACAACTCTAGTGTTCACTCACCTCACTTTCCAAATTAGGACAGGCGTCGAGTCGACCTTCGCCACTTTGTTAATGAACTACATTTAACTGCTGTTGACACAACCACAGCCTTCTTCCGTCAAGGCATTACTGTAGGCGACCCTCACGCACTTGGCAACCGGTGCGTCTGTCAACCCAGGTAGGGTATATAATGAGGAAGAGGTGTCCTCTTAAGCCGTGAAGGGAGGGGTTTGTTGTCTGCGCAGCCAGAGAGCGCAGCGGGGTTGAGATGTCTCACTTCCACCTGATTTTATTATCTGACAGCGATACCGCGGCATCACCACTGAAGTCATAGCTTAAGATAAGTGGTCAAATATATTACACTTAAACACATACATTAATTGTTTAAGCTGTGTTTTTTTTTTTTTTTTGTAAAAATCAAATCATGAATTCATACTTTTCAAATTAGTTGAGCTACAATCTCTCCACATGCCCCCTGGCAACAGCAGAAGTACCCCCTAGTGGGGCAGGTACCCCTGGTGGGGCAGGTACCCCTGCTGGGGCAGGTACCCCTGGTTTGGAAACCACTGCCCTAATGCTGGTAACTCAGCAACACCATATCATTAAATGAATTGCATATGCTACTGAAACAGCATGTCATACCTTTTGGTGTAATAGTTTAAGATAAGGTCAGCCATTTAAACAGTGAATAATTATTGATAGGAGGTAAAAAAAAATAAAAAAAAAAATAAAAAAAAAGGTTATTGGAACAACTTATTTTAAACACTAAATCCTGAACGCAGTGCATTGTAGCCCACCTGCAAATTACCATTAAATTCTGTTAAGAATTACAAAAAAAAATCTAAACATCCACCTACAGTGGCTCATCTTGATGCATAAACAATCTTTGGCAGAGCAAAGTTAGTGCTGTAGTTGTGTCTGTATCACTTTCCTCCAGGACAAGAACTTCTTGTCTTAAAGTAAACTGTTAAGTTAACTAGCCGGCACACTCGGGTAGGTAGTAGGTTAGAAATTATTTGAAATTGAAAACCACAGAAACTCACAGTAATACTATTATAATGTGTGTCTGGCACCCAACACTGTAAGCTATTTGGTTTTGTTTTAATACTCCTGTGACATTATGAAATGCCTATTTTGTTCAAGTAGTTTTATTGAACAACGGTACAATGTAAAGTGTTGGACGAGAGGACTAATCACAATAACAGCACTAGTCACATAGGGTTGAAATAAGATAAAGATTTTTTTTTAAGAAAGATTACAATAAAATGGAATGAGATAAATAAAATATAACTATATAAGTATGTAAAGTCTATACAGGAGCATGAGAAGTATTACTATAAAAAAATGTACACTATACGTAGGTATAAATATGCTATAAGTATCTGTTCTAAATACATAAACATACTGTATAGATATACTACATTTTATGAATATATGATAAAGAGGATTATGTGTAAAAGTAAAGTGAATACAGTATTGCACATGCACTGTTATCAGTCCTGGTACAGTAGTAGCAGATATGGTTGATAGTTCATTTTACTGTCACAGGATTCCTGTATAGGTTAATGAGTTGGGAAAGTCTGATGGCCTGGTGGTAGAAACACTTGTTAAGTCTGCTGGTACACGCAGCCATGCTCCTGTATCGACTGCCAGGCAGCAACAAGGAGAACAGTCTGTGCAAAGTAGGTATAGAAAATACAATAAAGTAGTGATTAATTACAGCTTATAAAGCCTTCATAATGGATGCAAATATTCAACCAAGCATACACAAATACACAATGTCACTACAATGTCCACACAGGCGGAAACTGTCCGTACAGTTAGTCTGAGGACGTCCAATGAACATGATTTAAAAAGTAGTTCAATAGTACACCAAGCAGCACTCAAGAGGGGCACATAAACCAAGCACTACACATAGCTTCAACATCACATTACATTTAGGTCAAAAGGTAGATTTGTTTTACTGTGTCCCAGGTCCACATATACTGCTTCTAAGCAGGTTTTAGTCTGTAGTTTGTTCACACTGAAGAAGTAACACAATTCTGATCACTAAAAAGTCTGCATGCAGAATAAATACCAATATGATGCACTGTACGCATCAGGTTGTCTATACAAAGTGCAAAGTAAAGGCAGGTACAGCGGGCTTTCCGGTAGGCTCGATCTGCTTCACCCTTTACAAACTTTGAGGCGGCGTTTAGTTGCCTCATCACCAACTGTGGGATTTGCCATCTGATTATAACTGAAAACACAGACCTATGTTTATGTTATGTACTAACATAACCGATGTAAACAAAGTAGGTCTGTGACTAATCGTTGTTTCTTTGTTAATCAACTTTGGTCCGAAAAATAGAAAATAGCAATAAATGTCCATCACAAATCGACAAAGTTCAGTATTACGCCTTACACACTTCAATCCAAAGATAAACTTTTACCGATTTTAGTCTTTAAATATTTTTTTTTTTAGCTGAAATAATCAACTAATCATTTTTACCTCAAAACAAACAGAAAACATTTATCACTAGGATTTAGTTATTGTCTAGTGCCGACTCTTGCAATATGTTTAACACACTGGCAGCGCGGTAAAGCTTTTGTTCACTTACAGATCACAGATTCAGGTCATCAGTCCTCTGATGACGACAACTTCTGTTTTGGGAAATAAAAGGGGTAAACAAAAGAAAAAGGACTTCTTTGTGACCCCACTGTGTTAATGTGAGTGTTCAGGAATGTGTTTATTAACTGGCTGTTCTCTTGTTTGACGCTTTAAGTTCACTGATGAAGTGTAGGCCTCTGGAACCAAATCGAATGGGTTTTTTTTTCTTGGAGAGGTCACTGCTCCGATGATGACGTACAAAACTAAACAAATGATAGGAAATTTGATCTGAGACTGTACACAAATTTTACACAAAGCAGCTCATTCAGTTCAGGTTTTCATTTGTGCCACCTTGTGTCTGCTGTCACAAATGTTTTAATTTACTAGATGTTTTAATTTTAAGTCATTTAAGTCATTTTGACAATAATCCATAAAGTCTAATAGAGGACATTACTTATTATAGACATTGAACAGTTAGTAGCACAGTGCAGAGCCAAACCCACAGGAATGATATTCTACATATTTGTCATAACCAAGAAAAAAATGCCAAAAGCAGTTTAGAGAATATTTTCGATATACAGAAGTTTGCTTTACTGAAATGATCCTTCATTCACCGTCTTTGTTATTCTACATTGTTGTTTTCTTACTTACTTTTAGTCTTACGTACAGCTGAGACCGGTGTCATTAGTTTTGCATGTATTTAGAAACTAAATATGAGATATTGGTGGCACTAGTCTAATAGCTGCAGAGTTGTTTTTAAATTATTAAAAGTTGATGAACATCAGCTTTCAGTCTTAAACAATCAGTGTTGGCATTTTGCCCTGAAGCCAGAGTGATTGAGGGTCACACAGCTTTACTTGCACAGCAACACAGATTTGTGCTCAGCTGAATGAGCACAAGTGTGTGAACAAGGGAGCTGGTAGTTTTCCACATGTCTGTGTACCAGAGCTGGACTTGATTCCACCGGGCACGGCTCTATTACACTGTCTCTGCAACGTGGTTTTGTTCTGTCATCCGCCCAGCTGCACCCCACCGGGAGCGTGCCAAGTTGAAAACTGACCAGATGCTCTATCCCATTCTTGAGTCTGACTTCCTGTCCGAGCTTGATCTGCTCTGTGCCGACCGATGCGGTTTCTGTCAAAAATAGGCTAGGCCTGAGGAGCAGGGTGGAGAAGCACTTCTGGGACGCTTCTGGTAGAATCTCAAGCATTGTCTAGAACGGCTGCGAAACCCAGCTGTGTCCTGTTTCGCTGGAATCAAGACGTTTATTGGGCAGTAAAAAGATGTCAACAGGGCATACTGTGACAGTCAACAGGCACAATCGTATTATCCTTGTAGTTTTAAGTGTGTGCACTTTTTAACCACCTTCCCTTCTTTAATTTTAGCTTAGCAGAAACACTCTCTTTTGCATGGCGCAGCCCACACCAGCAACGCAGCCCACTAGATCCGGGCCTGTCTACAACACTACACTGACACCCACAACAACAGCTTTGCTCGCCTAGCAATCGTACTGACCTTTTTCACTCATAATAGAGGCGGTGCGTGGTCAGCAGCCCTCCATGAGAGCCTGGCTCCCACCAGCAGGTAAACATCTCCCTCTCAGAGGACCTGCAGCCAAGCAGGACTGGTTTCCCCGGTGGAGACATGCCTGCCAACACGTGACAAACAAGCAACAGCTACATTCCCAATTTAGCCCTAATACAATTTTAAAAAAAGGAGAAATGTTGTAATTGTAAGATTTTAGTCACTTCTACAAATTAGGTGTTTGTTCTTTGTATTACATTAAAGGAAAGTCTGACAAAATAAACGCTTCCCTGTTGTGTTATGTGTCATATTGGGACCCTTCAGACTTATCTTGGGACCCTGCCTGGGTGTCCTGCCGCCCAGGTTGGGAACCACTGATTTCGTCACTTACCTTTAGTGGTATCTAACCTCGCAGTTTTTTTTTATGTTCCCTGGTTTTGAGATACCCCGGCTCTCCTCGTCCTGGCACAAGCTGTCATGCTGTGTACCCTGAAAAAGGAAATGACATCATAAAGTCGTGATTTGACTGCATGTCTTGTATTGACCTGACATGAATTGTTTGTGCATGTTGTAGCCAGGACACATACAGGCCATCTGTGGTCATCATCTGTGGTCATCACGTCCTGATGAAATCAGAGGTGAAAGAATTAAGTTTGAATTTCACTGACAGCAACAACACAGACTCATTTTCATCATTCAAGGATGTGCAAGTTCACCCAAAACCATTGTGAGGGTTATAAGCTAACATGGCGGCTGGTTTCAAAAAGGAACTGGATTTGCCAGAATTAGCCAGACACATATATTTAAACTCATCTTAGTCACTAATGTTGCTCTATGTCCCTCCTGGCCCTCAGAAAATGTCTATCTACTTCCTTGAACTTCCTAAGTCCTCATCTTCATTCAGATCCACTGACTCATATAAAGACATAAAGAAAACTCAAAACAAACACGAAAAAACCAAATATGACCGCTTCTGAACACATAACGACAACAGCTGTAACAAAAAGTAAGTAAAACAAAAACAAAATACACAATTTAGGGCACAAACACAGAGGGAAAAGTCTGACACCTCAGGTAGGGTGTGATAAAAGAGAGGCGTCATAAAGGAGGGGAGAGGCATGATGCGTTCAAGGACTGGCCCACCTGGGAGTCGTAGTGTCAGCGACTGCAGTAAAGTTGGCAATATATTCACAGATTCGCACTTC